TTGTTTGGTTGACCGATTGAACCATTCTTGTTGCCTCTAATTGTTGAAATCATTGTTAGTTAGGAATTCTCCCCTATCCCCTAGTGTTTGCTATTCCTTGATTTTCGAAGTTTTATACCTCTGCTTGTTGCTTGTTAATTTAGTTCTTAGTTTATTTGTTTCCCTAGTAGCTATAGATAAATCCATCAAAAATTTATTCCTCCCTTTTCAATTGACTTATAAGTGATCTAAGCAAGAGACGTTTGACCTTCCCTGAGGATTCGACCCCTCTTCCACTATGCTACCTTTGGTTAGTTTAGGACGTGGGTTTTCTTTTTATTCTTGACTCGACCTTTAGGAACTAACGACACCTAGGGGGCCGATCAACGACACCATATCCAACGATCTCCTCCAAACAATTCTTGAACCCGACTCCACGGCTCAACAAGCGTGGGAACGTCTTCGCAATATCTTTCAAGACAACCAAAGTTCTCGTGCGGTGCAATTGGAAGGTCTATTCTCCAATGTCGAAATGAAAGATTTCCCCAATGTTTCTGCATACTGTCAAAGGGTGAAAATGCTTGCCGACCAACTAGCCAACGTTGGTGCGCCGGTCAATAACCACAGATTGGTGCTAACCCTCATTCGCGGTCTCCCGAAATCCTTTGATGGCGTAGCCACTGTCATCCACCAATCCGACCCTCTACCTGATTTCTACAAAGCAAGATCCATGCTCACCCTCGAAGAATCTCGTCTCGCTGACCAAGCTGCCACTGAAGCCATCACGGCGGGCTCTGCTTTGATTGCCAACAGTCATGACAATACTCACTTTAATGGGGACTCCTATCCCGCTAATGATTCCAACCACCGCTCCTCTCACCGCGGCGGAAGAACTCAGGGCCGTGGTGGTCGCGGCCGTGGCGGCAACGGCCGAGGACGTGGTCGCAACAACAACAACCGCGTGGGTGGGTCGAACCATGGTTACAACCAGCAACATCGAACTCCCCAAACTTCTCAAAACTGGAATGCTGCTTTGCCTCCCTGGTCGCAATTTTCTCCTTGGAGTCAGTGGACTCCGCAAGCGTGGGCTATCCCACCTTGTCCCTACCCCACCGCAAATTGGACTCGCCCATCAGGCCCACGACAACAAGGGCTTTTGGGCCCTAGACCACAACAACAAGCGTACTCCACTCATGCCCCTCCTCCTTCTAGTTACGCTCCTACTGACATTGATCAAGCTCTTCATACTCTCTCCCTCACTCCACCAGATGATGGGTGGTATATGGATACCGGGGCTACGTCCCACATGACGTCAAATTCAGGTACACTCTCACCTTATCTTAATTTGGGCAATAATCAACGTAGCATTATAGTTGGCAGTGGACACAAAATCCCAATTCATGGCATCGGTTGCACCTCTCTCCCCTCACCTCATCATTCCCTTTCCTTAAATAATGTCCTTCATGCCCCGAAACTAATTAAAAATCTGATTTCTGTTAGAAAATTCACAAATGATAATTGGGTTTCCGTTGAGTTTGACCCGTTTGGTTATTCTGTGAAGGACCTCCCGACGGGGACAACAATTTTGCGATGTGATAGTTCCGGCGAACTCTATCCCCTCACCAATGTCGCACATCCTGCCCAATCTCCATCTAGTTTTGCTGCTATTTCCCCGTCTCTTTGGCACGACAGGCTTGGTCATCCCGGAGTTAATATTTTGCATTGTCTTAGAAAGAACAATTTTATTGAATGTAATAGACGTTTGAGCACTTATATTTGCAATTCATGGCCTCTTGGTAAACTTGTGAAATTGCCATTTTATTCTTCTATGCCTACTACTTGCATGCCATTTGATATTGTGCATAGTGATCTTTGGACATCGCCGAAAATGAGTTCGGCGGGGCATGTTTATTATGTGCTATTTTTGGATGATTTTAGTAACTTCTTATGGACTTTCCCCCTATGTAAAAAGTCACAAGTATACTCCTTCTTTATGCATTTTCGTGCCTATGTGTCCACTCAATTCGAAAGACAAATCAAATGCTTCCAATGTGACAATGGCAAAAGAATATGACAATGGCCCCTTTAGTACACTTTGTGAACAAAATGGCATGCTCTTTCGTTTCTCTTGCCCTCACACCTCCTCTCAAAACGGCAAAGCCGAAAGGAAAATACGCACCATCAACAATATGGTTCGTACCCTTCTTGCTTACTCTTCCATGCCCCCCTCCTTTTGGCATCATGCCCTTGAAATGGCAACCTACATTCACAATATTCTACCTTCTAAAACTATTGCCTCTAAATCCCCCACTCAAATGCTCTTCCACAAAGATCCATCTTACTCTCATTTACGTGTTTTTGGATGCCTTTGTTATGCGCTTTTCCCCTCTACCTCTATTAACAAACTTCAAGCTCGGTCTACCCCTTGTGTCTTCTTAGGCTACCCACCTAATCACAGAGGGTACAAATGTTACGATATGTCCACTCACAAAATCTTTATATCTCGACATGTTGTATTTGATGAGAGTCAATTCCCTTTTGCCAAAATCCATACTCCAGCAGCCCATTCGTATGATTTCTTAGACATTGGGCTCAGCCCAACCATCCTACATCAACTTCACACTCATGCTGCTTCTCCTCCTAACCCACCAGAAAATACGACCCATGTGCCCACCTCTCCTGGCCCTAACACGCCTAAGCCCATTCCCTTCTCTTCTCCTTCTCCTCTCGTGGGCTCCCCAACTCAGCCCACACCTCCTACTCATCAAATGGGCTCAGCAAGCCGGCCTACTACTTCCCCTCCTATTTTAGCCCAGATCTAACCTCAGCAAATTTCCCAACCCACAAAAATGACCACCAGAAGCTCAAATGGCATTTTCAAGCCAAAACGCCACTTCAACCTCACTGCCTCCTCTCTGCCTTCCCCCCTCCCCCGCAACCCGATTGCCGCCCTCTCCGATCCGAATTGGAAAGATGCTATGTTTGATGAATATAATGCCCTTATTAAAAATAAGACGTGGGAGTTGGTGCCCCGGCCTTCTAATGTCAATGTTATACCTTGTATGTGGCTTTTCCGCCACAAGAAAAATGCTAACGGTGGTTTTGAGAGGCAGAAAGCCCGTCTTGTTGTTAATGGCAGGAATTAACAGGTTGGCGTCAATTGTGATGAAACATTTAGTCCCGTGGTCAAACCGGCAACGATTCGCACCGTCCTAAGCATTGCTCTATCCAAGTCATGGTCCATTCACCAAATGGACGTCAAAAATGCTTTCTTGAATGGTACTATTGATGAAACAGTGTACATGCACCAACCTCCCGGGTTTAGGGACCCCAATAATCCCTCACATGTATGCCTTCTTGATAAGGCTCTCTACGGTCTCAAGCAAGCACCACGGGCGTGGTATCGTCGGTTTGCTAATTTCGACGCCACCATTGGATTTATTCATAGCAAATCCGATCACTCACTATTCATCTATTGTCATGGCAAAGAGGTTGCCTACATTCTTCTCTACGTCGACGATATCATTCTCACGGCCTCCTCCAAATCTCTTCGGTTATCCATCATGGCCAAACTCAAGGCCGAATTTGCAATGAAGGATCTTGGCTTACTCAACTCCTTTCTTGGCATTTCGGTAACTCATCACAGCAATGGTCTTTTCCTCTCCCAAAAGTCATATGCTGAAGAAATTATTGCAAAAGCAAACATGTCCTCATGTAATCCATCTTCCACCCCAGTAGACTCCAAAGCTAAGCTAAGCGCCACATCGGGCTCCCCCATCGAAGACCCCACTCTATACCGCAGCTTGGCAGGGGCGTTGCAGTACCTTACCTTCACCCGCCCCGACATCTCGTACGCCGTCCAACAAGTCTGCCTTTTTATGCATGACCCGAGGCAGGAACACTTGCAAGCTCTACGCCGAATTCTTCGATACTTAAAAGGCACACTTAAACACGGGCTTCACTTGTATCCTTCATCCATTTCAGCTCTAATCTCATACACCGACGCCGACTGGGGTGGCTGCCCAGACACACGGCGTTCCACCTCCGGCTACTGTGTCTTCCTCGGCGATAACCTCATCTCTTGGTCCGCGAAATGCCAGCCAACTTTATCTCGGTCCAGTGCCGAGGCCGAATACCGCGGAGTTGCAAATGTGGTGGCTGAATCGTGCTGGCTTCGCAACCTCCTGCTCGAATTAAGGTGCCCAATTCGCAAGGCCACGGTGGTTTATTGCGATAATGTAAGTGCCGTCTACCTCTCCGGCAACCCCGTTCAACACCAACGAACAAAGCACATCGAAATGGACATACATTTCGTCCGAGAAAAGGTTAGCCGAGGTCAAGTTAGAGTGCTTCATGTTCCCTCCCGCTACCAAATCGCTGACATATTCACAAAAGGACTGCCACAACTCCTTTTCGAAGACTTCCGAGACAGCCTTAGCGTTCGTTTACCTCCCGCTACGACTGCGGGGGTGTATTAGCATATGTCAACGTGTAGCTGTAATTAATATGATTGTGTAATCTTTCCCTAGGACTCTTGTATATATTCTCCTATACTGTGCAATGAGAAGCTACGGAACATATTCCTAACAATAAGAATTATACCTATAAATGTGATTTTTGAAATTTAAAATTATGATTAAGATATCTAAAATTAGTAGATTACTGTGTTTATGACTTGTTATTCCCACAGAAAAAAAATAACCGTTTTTAATTTTCTTTTTTCTAATTGATCCCTTGCTTATTTTTATTCTTTCTAATTTGAGAGAAAATTTAAAATTTTAAAAAAAAAAAATCATACAACTGTATGAAGAACAAAAAAGAAAAGAAAGAGGGTAGCATGCTCTTAGTATACATGCATGATTATGATTATGATTATATTATGGATTTGGCAATCATCGTCTCCATTAAGCTAAACACATGCATGTTGACGTCGGCCTATCCACTGATAGACAATTGAAACAAATTGTTTCTTTCCTCCTTTAAAATTAAATTATCATAAACTAGTTAAGTTGTTGTATGTTATGGATCAAATTGTTCCTGAATTAAATGGATCGATTTTGATAGATTATCATGACCGTATTGTTGAGATAAATTGTCAAAGATACCATGAAAGTCGCGCCTTCTCAATATTTCATGGTGCTAAACATCTTGATTTCTCCTTCACCGTTCTCCTCTTAGAAATTTCTATGGTTCTTGTTATTAACAACATTTTGCGCTTCGTCTTGAAGCCTCTCAAACAGCCTAGACTCATTTCTGATGTTCTTGTAAGTCTCTCTCTCTCTCTTAAAACGATAAGTTAATTACATAGCTCATTAATTTTCAAATTCTCTTTGCAAATAAAAGAATTAAGGAAAAACAATTAAGCATGAAATAAGCCTATAAGTGTCTATTGATTTAACAATAGGGCAAGTAGTGTAGAGCAAGGATGGCAAAAATTCTATAAAAAAAATCATTGCAACAAATGGAATAAAGTAGAATACTATGGGGTGCTCTTTGAATACTTTACAAGATAATGATACTTAATAAAATAAATTAATAGAATTGTATATTTATTAAATATTGGCCATGTAAACTAATTGTGTAAAACATTTGGTAAATATTGTATATATAGTATTTAGTCATTATCTGTTTTAGTGACAAAAATAACAAAAAGCAAAAAGCTCTTTTAAAAAACTGCTCGTGTGAGTGTGGACCCAAAAAGCTATTTCAAACAGCTTCCTAAAATCCTAACTAAATACTCTTAAGAACTTTTTAAAATGGTCAAAAAGTTCTTAGAACAATTTGAAATTAAATTATGATCAATACATTGCTTTAATATATTATGCCCGACCTCTAATCCGCTAACCACTTCTATATAGTATATATGAATATTAATTATAATTACTAACAATATAATACATACTTATTAGAACAAATTGAAATTGTGTACTTACTTTGTGTGTATAGGCGGGCATAATCCTTGGACCATCAGTCCTAGGTCGCAACAATATCTTTGCAAAGATTTTCACTCCGGAGAGCTCGCACTTTGTAATAAAAAATATCGGGGTTATAGGGCTTTCCTTGTTCCTGTTTGTGATGGGGGTGAAAATGGACCTTTCTACGGTCACCAAGGCCAAAAAGAAGCATTGGGTGATTGCAGGTGCTGGTGTGATAATCCCCCAGTGCGTAACGCTTATATTATCTAGTCGCGTATTTAATTACATTGACAGTCCAACACTCAAAAAACAATCTTCTCTTACAGCTATATCTTCAGTTATGATTAACTCATCATTCCCAACTCTTTACACCATCCTAAAAGAAATTTTATGTTAATGACAAACAAGTATTTAGTTGTAATTCATGCGTACACATAGTTTGATTTTGAGCTTTAGTTTAACTTATACAAGAATAGAGTAAAACACAAGTTTTTAAGATGGAATATAAGCCTATAATCAATATAAAAGTGGGTAATAGTTGATTAAAAAAATAATAATAAAAAGAATATAGTAAAAGTGAGTTGAACATTAAAAAAAAATGAAATAAAATATAGAGTGAGTAGATTTTAAGAAAACGGGGGAAGTAGTTGTTCGTCAATTTAATTTGTCCATTTACAAATAATTAATTGATTAGAAATTTAGAATATATTTGTCATGTAAAGAAGGATACAGATAATGAAAAAAAAGGATAATAATCAAAACTAATTAGGGTAGTACAACTATACAAGGTATGTACAATATACAATAACAAGCTCATGATATGCTATCTTTGACTATGTGATTGCTGTGATATCAAGGAACATGGTAGTGATGATATGATAATCCTTGCTACTCTAAAATATCTCCAAGTTTGATTACAATCATACCTATAATTACAATTAAGAATTCTAAAATTAGTAAAGCACTGATATTCTGACTTATTATTCCCACAGAATTTATTTTTTTTTTTCAAAAAAATTGTTTAATTTATTAAATCCATCTTTCTTTCTAATTTAGGAGGAAATAAAAATTAAAAAAAAAAAAATTAATTATTCGGGTGCATGAAGAACAAAAAAGTTGAAAAGAAAAGGAAGTTGGCAATTTTTTTGCTTATATTTCATCTTGTTTGAGCTGCGAAGTTTTGCTTGCATGGTCGATCATATAGTATTATTCATGCATGATTATGATAATATTATGGATTTGGAATGAAATAGTGTTTCATTCCTCCTCAACATAATTGATTTGTCATCAACAAGTTGAGGTGTTATGGACCAAATTGTTCCAAAGTTAAATGGATCTGTTGTGATGGATTATCATGGCCAGATTGTTGAGATATTTTGTCAAAGAAACCGTCGAAGTCGTCCCTTCTCAATATTTGAAGGTGCTAGTAATCATCATGATTTCTCCTTCACTGTTTACCTCTTTGTAATGTCTATGGTGCTTATAATTAGCAATATTTTGCGCGTTCTCTTGAAGCCTTTCAAACAGCCTAGAGTCATCTCTGATGTCCTTGTAAGTTCGTTAATAATTTTTTACAATAATATATATCATTGTTCTTGAATTTACGCATTCTATTTGCAACTTAAATAATATAAGAAAATTAGAGAGTAAAAAAAAAAAAAGTAAAATGGGTGGAAGAGTGAAAAAAAAAAACCCAGTTAATTACTTATTGATTTTACAATGAATGAAACAACCTGTGCTATGCAAGGATACAATGAGTAAATGCTAAAATTCAGGCCCGTTTATGAGATTTTGGTGGCCTAGGGCGAACATATAGATTGGGGCCCTAGTGAACGAGCGTTATTTTTTTTTTTTTTGCATTTTAAGGGTATGCAAAATAAAAGACTAGCTTCCTCAACTCTAACTTTAAATTCACATATCAAATATTAAAATGTACGAAGTATTAGTTATAAATCTTAAAAAAATCTCTTAGATTTTCAATCTTTTAATTATGGAAAAATATTTTTTAGAACAATTATGAAAATATATTTAGTTGTAAAAGATACATGAAAATCAAATCGCTATTTTAATTATACTAATAATAATTAAAACTGCTAATGATCTAGGGAGTATATAATACTCCATAATAATAATAATAATATGCCAAGAGTTGGAAATTGCAAAGCTATATCAACGTTTTAAATAATTTTCATCTTCAAATAATTTTACTAGGGATTTTTTGGATAATTTAAATATGGATAATAGTACACTTTGGAAAGATTGAAAGAAGTAATTAACTTTTTAAAAATATCAAAAGGGGAATTCATCCTGGGAAAGCTAGATATTATAGAAGCAAAAACTAAGGGAATTGGCAGTTGGAACATTCAATTTGCTTTGGGAACAATAACTGACAAACTTCATTCATTGATGAATGACGAACTTTAGTATAAAGCAATTAAACAATTTTAGTTTAATTTTTTTTTTTTTTTTTTTTTGGTAATTTGAGGCCCTCTTTAAAACCAATTTTGGGCCTTACAAACTGGGCCCTGGGCGGTTGCCCCACCTGCCCCGCCCCAGCGACTGCCCTGCTAAAATTCATTGCAACATATAAATGGAATATCCATAATGTATCATATTTGAAGTTTTTTAAACTTGAAATTGAATCATGTTTTTATCACATCTATATTGAAAAATTTCTAGGCTATGTACCAATATCTATTTCACCAAAATAAAAATAATAATAAAAAAACATAAAAAAAAAATCAATATTTATTACTATTGTATCTATATCAATAATATATTAGGAAGTACTCCTGAATTAAAAGGTCAAGTTTTTATCATGACATCTATTTTTTTTATTATTAATATATATAAGGTCAAATTAATGTATTGACATATGTGTGTAAATTAAGATTGTAGACCTGGCCCTTAGCTTAGGCGATGCAGGCTGAGCAACCGCACAAGGCCGAACTTGTTTGGGAGCCTTAGTCTTATTATTCTACATAGTTAAGATCCAGGTATGCTTTTGTTTAGTCATTAAAAATTACTCTCATTCATAGCGAAGGTCGTGTGCTCGAGCCCTTTCACAACCTACTACAAGAATTTTTATCCCTTTACTTAATAAGCTTACTTAGGCCCCGTTCTTTAGAGTTGTTCTGCTCTGCTTCAATCTGCTCTACTCTGATTAAACATAATAATAATAATAATAATAATAATAATAATAATAATAATAATAATAAAATCTGTTCTGCTCTACTTTAATCTGCTATGCTGAAATCTGTTCTGCTCTACTATGCTCTGCCCAGAAGCTCAAAAGAACAGGGCTTTAGTAGCTATTACCCAAAATCAATGCATTTAATGAGGGTTTAGATTTAATTAAATATATTTATAAATTATTTGGTAATTTCTCTTCCATTTCATTAACAAGAGGGTCTAGTTTTATTTCCAATACACGAGGCCTCATCCATTGGTCGGGGCGACTTCGCAAATTTGGATGTGTCAATTATTCTAAAAAAGAAGAGTATATAATGACTATAGCATTATATGATTAAGTCTTTGTTTTCAATATATCGTTAGTAAAATTTATCGATAATTAATTAATAATTGTTGAACATAATTAGGTAAAATATGCTCTCTCTATCCTTAATTTTTTGCCCTATTTGACTCTTCTCCGTCTCTAAGACATGTCTTAAAATATAACTATCTTCAATTTATACATGCAAAATTATAAAAATTTGATATCCTAAAAGTAATCATTGTTACGAATCTAACAAGATCTATCTATCCCATATGACTATATTATTTCTTAGAGAGTAATGAGGATTTATGGTCAATATTTTAGAGTACAGGTGTATATATGGTTCTCCATTAACCAAAAAAAACCTCAAAATTAATATAAAAAGATTTTTAAAAAATCAAAACCACACAATTCCAAAACCAAAATAAACAAAATAGTGAATAAAAAACAAATAACAAAGAATGAACATGTCTAACCAGTTACAAGATTTCAAAGGCATGAGGCATTTCATGGACCACATGCAATTTTTTTTTATTTTTTTTATTTTTTTTTATTTTTTTGTATGTTCCACCCGCTTCACCCTTTGAGCTAATTCGGATTCGGGGATCAGTTTTGGGTGGTTAGGTTGCAATCCCCTTCCAATTATTGTTGCGGGGGATCGAACATAAGTCCTCCCTACCAAGTATAGTCCCAATCACCACTATACCAAAAATCAATTGATTGGACCATGCTATTTAATTATTAATAACAAAAAATACTAAGACAAAAAATATGTATTTTGTGTTTGTAGGCGGGCATAATCCTCGGACCGTCAGTTTTATGTCGCAATAATATCTTTAAGAAGAATTTCAAGTCAGATAGCTCATACTTTGTAATAAAAAATATCGGGATCTTAGGGCTTTCATTTTTTATGTTTTTAACGGGGGTCAAAATGGACCTTTTGGTGGTCAACAAGGCTGGAAAGAAGCATTGGGTGATTTCAATTGTTGGGGTGATAATCCCTCATACCATCATGTACATAGTAACTTTAATTATTCGTAAATACATAGACAATCCCATGCTACACAAACAATCTTCTTTTGCGGCTATTACTTCAACTATGATTGTCTCATCATTTCCAACTCTTTACACCATTTTAAGAGACATGCAACTTTTGAGATCGGAAATTGGTCTTACGATATTAACAACGGCAACCTTAATTGAACTAGTTGGTATATCTCATATTGTTTCCTTTGAAGCTATGATGCAAGCCGAAGCTGGCAGGATTTACGTATTGTATTACATGCTTACAAATTTATTGGTCAGTGGCTTACTACTCTACGTCGTACCACAAGTGATGCTATGGATTAATAACCGTACTCCTAAATTTAAACTTGTGGAGCAAAATTATATCGTTGCTATTTTGTTAGGAGTTTTCGTGTTTGGATTTATTACTGATCTATTCGGATCATCAATTGGAGTTGGATCTTTTATTCTAGGGCTAGTCATACCAGACGGCCCCTTAATAGGCGAAACCATTATAAATCATACAGAGGTTATTACAAATGACATTTTTATGCCCTTTGCATATGCCACTCTTGGCCTTACAATGGATGTGTTTGCAATCTTCAAGTGTTGGTCTTGCTTAATTCCCATCTTGACTTTGGCAGTTCTACCTATCATAGCTAAGTTTGCTACGATTGTTATGTCTGCTCGGTTTATGGAAATGTCATATACAGATTCTCTTATTATTGGCTTCATATTCAACGTTAAAGGTCAAACGGAATTTTTTCTCTTTCTTCACTACATGGATTATAAGGTACGTACAATTATAAGCATTAATCTTATTTGAGCTTGATGCAACCTTTTAATAATGCGAAAGTAGAGTGATATTTTCTTCATCAATACCTCAATACTTAAAATGAATATGTTTCCCGGTGATTATTATGTTTTGATTTTACATGTGAAGGAACATGCAGCAAAATTATGAGGATTTGGAATACCACTTAAACGTATTTTACGTATATATTCCCCATTATATGTGTAGGATAATACTTACAATTGACAAAAGCAACATTAATTAGTGATAGCTCAATTATCATATTATTTTAATGATATATAATATGATTGATTTATTTTTTCACGCTATAAAATAGCCACAATTAGTCTTATAATATCAACAATGTAAATAAAAAATTTTAAAAATTTAATCCAACCTAATATAAATATTTTTTGAGAAGCTATAAAATAAGAATAAAAATTACATAAATGAAACTAAAAATTTAATAAATCAAAAAAATGTTGATAATATTATTTAATATCATTAATAAAGTAAAATAATTAATTACTTGGAATAAAATATATCAATTATGAAATATATAATCATTAAAATATTATAGTATTCATATTTCAAAAGATTACTGTAAAATTTTCATTGCATTATATACTCATATTTTACTGAATATATACGACAATGTAATTTCTTTTATTATGCATGCAGATCTTAGATACATCATCTTTCTCATTGATGATGACTTTAGTAATTATTGTGACAAGCATAACTTGCCCTATAGTCAACTACCTGTATGATCCAACAAAACCATACATGATCAACAAGAAAAGAACCATACAACACACGGTAGATGTGTCTAAACTTCGATTGATGGCATGCATTTACGACCAAGAAAGCGTGACTTCCCTATTTAGCCTCTTGGACTTCGTCAATCCAACAACGAATAACCCATTTACAATTTTTGTAATCCACCTTATCGAACTCTTAGGGCGAGCTACCCCTATGTACATCGACCACATGAAGGAGATTGACGAGTATTGGGACAACAACAATGTCGCCGTCCACAAGGCCATCAAGCTATACGAGAAGGATCGTATGAATTGCATTACAATGAACTTATTTACTAGTGTTACCCCTAATCAAACCATGTACCAAGACATTTGTGAGAATGCCTATTTGAACAAGGTAAGATTTATTATTTTACCCTTCCACAAGAAATGTATTAAAGATGGGAATAATTTATCGACTGCCACACTTAGGCCAGGGGTACAATACACTAATACAAATACGTTAACACATGCACCTTGCTCCGTTGGAATTTTAGCATGTAAGGATGCTGCTACATGGGAGATATTCCCGTCTCGATTAAATCAATGCACTCGTCGCCAATTTGTTCTATTGTTTCTTGGAGGGCCTGATGCTCGAGAGGCTCTTGCATTAGCAAGCCACATGGTTGAACATCCAGATGTATCACTTATTGTGGTTCGATTCTTGTCAAATGAACAAATAGGAGATATTAAGTCGGAAAGAAAAATGGATGATGGGGTGATAACTTGGTTTTGGGTAAAAAATGAGAAGAATGAAAAAGTTGTGTATAGGGAAGTAGTTGTGAACAATGGTTTTGAAACGATTACAACTATACAATTATTGAACTCTAGTGCTTCGATAGATCTTTGGATTTTAGGAAGGGGAAATGGAATCAATCCAACTTTACTGGAGGGTTTATCAGAATGGAGTGAAAATCCTGATTTAGGATTGATTGGTGATTTTTTAGTATCAGCCGATTTTAATACTTTAGGCTCTGTACTGGTAGTGCAACAACAAGTGTTGAGAAATGAACGAGTTAGTTCTTTGGCTTGCAATTAAATTGAATTTTTTGCTACATTTACTTTTAAGTTTTTCTTGTTATTTAAACCTGTTAGATTTAATCAATTTCCATTAATTTTATCTGATTTGTGGTTTATTTATGACCTCCTAGATGAGTTGCCACATATCATGAATATAATGAGTACATCTATACTTATATGTTAAAAAGCGTAAAAACATCCCACAAGTTTCGAACATATGCATGACCTCATGGACATGAGATTACATAAATCAATATCTTATTACCATGTTAGCCAATAGTAATTCATGTTATTCATATACACATAAATCAATATATGTTACGCACAAAAAAAGAGATATAAAAAATAATTATATTGCCTAGAAATCACGTAGGAATAGCCTCAATGAAATAAAGACAATGTTAAGAGATTTTTTTTACAACATTTTTGTTTCAAATTAGTAAGTAGTAACCCCTGTGCAATGCATGCCTGAGACTCATACTAGTTATATATTATTCCAAACTTTGTTTTACTAATACATGAGAGTAAACTTGGTTTTGCTAGACCTAAATCAATTTAATATGTAAATATAAAGTGTTGTATAATAATCTTTACGATCATTTTGTTCTTTCCAATTTGACTTTTGTCTCACAATATATATATATATATATATATATATATATATATATATATATATATATATATTATATATATATATATATATATATATATATATATATATATATATATATATATATATATATGGACAGAACGAACAAAAAATAATAAGAGGATATAAATTCCAGCTTCAGTAACTAAATAATACATAATTGCATACAAATAAGATCATTAAATAAGCATTTACTGTCCTCCTAATGTATCAAAGTAATTAAGTGTCTTTATTAACCGGCATATATGGAAATGAGGAACTAAACACAGCTACACAAAGTACATGTACAACCAGCTTAGGAAATGCTACCTATAATTATGTGATTGCTGTGATTAAGATCATGATAGTGATGAAATTATTATTCAAGCTACTCTAAAAAATTTCCTAGCATGATAAGATCTAAAATCCTCCTATAAATGTGATACTTGAAAATTTAACTATGATATCTAAAATTAGTAGTGTACTGTTTATGTGACTTGTTATCCTCATTGGAAAAAAAAAAAAAGTTGATTATTTATTATACATATTAATCCTTTTTTTTTTCCCCTAATTAAGGAGGAAAATTCTTTTTAAAAAATATTATACGAGTGCACGAAGAGAAAAAAAAACGGGGGAGGAAAAAAAAAAACATAGCATAAAATTATCATGCAATAATTTTTTGTTTGTATTTCATCATTTTTTAAGTTTTGCTCGCATGGTCATATAGTAGTATTCATGCTTGATTGTGATGATATTATGGATTTGGTAATCAATGCGTTATGACCCTAAGTTGTTGAAGTTGTCGCGGTACACACACAGGTTGTTCTATCATTTGAAAGACGATTGTCATCAACAATTTATGTGCTAATGGACCAAATTGTTCCCATGTTAAATGGATCTGTTATGATAGATTATCATGGCCAAGTTGTTGAGATACTTTGTGAAAGGAATCGTCGAAATCGTGCCTATAGGATATTTCAAAGTGCTTATAATAATCATCCTGATTTCTCCTTCACTGTTCTCCTCTTAGAAATGTCTATGGTTCTTATTACTAGCAATATTTTGCGCTTCCTCTTTAAGCCTCTCAATCAGCCTAGAGTCATCTCTGATGTCCTTGTAAGTCCCTCAATATTTCTTTACGATTAATTGTGTTGAACTAATAAACCCTTTATTATATCTATCATCTATACATTCTGTTTCGGGTGAAAACAATGGGACCTTGTCGAAGGTCCGATGAAGTGGAGAAGACTGGATTCAGTCCAAGTGATGTTGGGCCGAAGGTTTCCTGCACAGTAAACACACGTAAACTAGCCTCGGGGGTGTTGCCGAGGAAGGCCCCTCCGATGCTAAAGTCAGTACAGTGTGTAGAAAGAGAACACTATGCAAGAGAATTAATTGCTTGAGGCTTTGCTTGAATGAATGTACAAATGTAATATTGATGGCTTTTATACCTTTGCATATATGGAGAAGTTGGGCCTTAGCCCAATTGACTTGCCTTGAGGACTGATCTTTGACTTTAGCATAATTGGAGAGATGAACCTTGACCTTGGCTTTTAATTGGATCATTTAATGCCTAGGCCCAATTGGACTAAATTGGACCCAAACAACTTGCCCCCCAGACCCGATTTGGAAGGATGACGGGTCGGGTTTGATTTAATCAGAAAAGGAGGGAAGTGAATGATTTAATTAATCCAAAAATTTGAATTTAAATCGTAATTAAACCGTAATTAATGAGATAACAACAGTTAAGGCGGATAATTGTGGAAGTTGGACGGATAATGGCAGTTTAATCGCAAGGTCGTGTGTTTAACGGTTACTTAGTGGGGTATTTAAGAGAAATTGAAACGCGGACTCCCCGTATTCCCATTTCTGGAGATATAATTAGAGGCGCGTCATCTCTCCTCACTTATTCACCAACACAAACCCAGAATTCTCGAGAGAACCCAAGAACCTGCATCAAAACTTCGCAAATTCCCGAGCATTAAGCTTAGAAACTGAGACTCGCCACTACCAATTCGTAAATCGGCAACTTTCGCTTCAGATTAAGGTAAATTCCTTTGATTTTAGTTTATTTTTCTTCGAATTTGAACTCCTTCCCCTTTTTTCGACTTTTTTCTTCGAAATTATCAATGGCGAGAGGAGTTAGGGGTAGAGCCCGTGCTCCAAGAAGAGAAGGCCAATTCCCGATCCCAGGAACAGGATTGGGACCTGGAATGGACAAAGAGCAGAGTCTGACCCTGCTGAAGGGATTAGGGCGACTCCAATTTCTTCGGCTCCTCCTCAGAGAACGGAGGGCCGAGCGCTTCTGGGCGGGACGATGAAGTTCCCGCTGTCCTTTGGGATATCCTTCCCGGGTTTTCAGAGTGGGAGGATGTCGAAGTAGATTCGGCCATGATAAAGAACCGCCCCTACTCATGGTGGTGGAGAATGCCGAACAGTATCGGTTTGCCGAACAAATTGAGTTGCATTACGGCATCCTTGAAGCTGATGGGTATTGGTGCCGAATGCCCGTGGCATCCGATAGAATCCATCGTCCACCCCCGGGGCATGTGGGGGTGTACACAAGACAACTTCAGTATGGGCTGAGGTTCCCTTTGGACGTATTCGTCCGAGACTTGCTGATCCATTACAATATTTCCCTATGTCAGCTAACTCTTATTAGCATCCGAAGGGTGATGACATACTTATGGGTCTGCAAGTTCTTCAGGTATGTGCCGAACCTGCACTGCTTCAAAAAGCTTCATCGGCTAGTGCCAAATATTCAAAGTGGGCACGGAAGTCATGGTTCTGGGTGTACCGGATTGAGTCTCGGCCCCAGTACCTAACCATGTGGCCGAACGACTCTTCAGACAAGGACTGGAGAGGTCAATGGATTTGGGTTAGGGCACCACGGACCGGGCCACCCTTGCGTCTTCAACGCTCCCCGGTACCTTGCTGAGCCTTATCCCGACATGGGAAGTTTAGGTCCCCCCGCAGATAACGGCCCAGATCCGAACCTTAATCAACAGAATATCTTCGGCAAGCTGCCGAACCGGGGGGGGGGGGGGGCAGCGGCCGAATGCAGCATATCCCGGAGACTTGGCTCCCCGATACGCATTATGTTTTCCAAGAGAACATACTAGCAGCTGTCGGCCTCAGCCGAAAGTTTAAGGATGGTAAGCTTCTTCGGCTGGGGCCGAGGCCTTTTAATTATCTCTTTTTCTCCTCTTTCACTTTGCTTTTTTATGCTGTGCCAACCTAATTGAACTGACCTTTCCCCTTTTCTTTTTCAAAGCGGGACGAGACCAACGTCGGCATTAACTACGCTCGTCTTGGCGTCAACCGAGAACGAGTTGTAACTGATCGGGCCCCTCTATCACTGAAGCGAGGCATAGAGAAGTTCATCTAGACTCTTCCCACTTCCAAATTGAGGCTGTTGCTCTGTATCAGAGGCAGAAGCCTTGGTGGAAGAAGAGAGATCCCTGGTTTCAGCTGCTGGACGAAGAAGCTGAAGCTGTCCGTACGGCCGAAGAGGTTGCACGGGTTATTGAAGCTTTTGAAGGAGGAGAAAGGGTCCTCCAGGGCTGCTGAAGAAGAAGCTGCAGCTAGGGCAGCTGAAGAAGACGAGGCTTTGCTGAAAAACCTCGGTGAGCTTTCAGACTTAATTTTGTCTGTTTCTGTTTGTTGTTTTGTTTTTTTTACTCACATTCTTCCTCCTCCCCTATCTTTTACAGTCTGAAGAGAGTAATAGAAACAGAGAAGGGAAAGCCCCTGTTCGTCCCGAAGACCAGATACAAGAAGAGTCCTCAGACTCAGACATGGACGAGCAGCCGCTTCAGAAAAGGCGCCGAAGAATGACCATCATCGGTCCCCATGACTTTCAGCGGAGGCCGATGACCATCGGCGTCGAAATAAGGGAACCCGAGGAAGGCAATGGATCGCCGAGGGTTCCCCGGCCACCACCTCAATCACCTCCAAAGACCCCTCCGCCACCTCCCGAGATGGAGGTGGATCAGAAAAATCCCGAACCTAAGGGAGGGGTCCAAGAAGAAGTTCAAGAGAGTGCTGCTGACCACAAGAATGAGGATGTCGTGATGCCCAGTGCTGAGGGTTTCACGGCAGACATTGCAAGAGAGGTTGAGGCCTTCGTCCTCACCCCTGAAGAAGAAGAAGTCATAATAATTGACTCTTCTGAGAAGAAGGAGGATGCTGAGCCATCCAAAGTTAAAGAAGCTCCATCGTCATCCTTTCCTTCCTTCCAGACTCTGTAATCTGGAGAAATGGGTTTCTCGGCCCCCCGAATTCCAATCCCAGATCACATCTGGGACCTCATATGGGGTCAGAACCGAGAAGGTGCTGCAGCCTACTTCGGCGATTTTGCTGGCATGTCCGAAGTAGATAGGGCAAGAATCTGGTCGCTG